CTATTATGCCAAGTTCACATACTTATCACCTTGACTATGCAAGATTTCTGAGTGTGTTTATGCAGCCGTTACACAAATACATTTATTTATATAGGTCACATTGCAATGCCATGAGTTCTCCTCACTTGGCAACGGATTTTGGCTTTCCTTTTTTCAGGGTGGTTTTGGGATTGGGGGAAAGGTGGGTTGGAATTTTATCCATGAGCTGTGGCAGCTGCTTATTTCGGTTCCACTCGGTTCGAAGTATAACAGTTCGCAGACTTTGATATGATATTTTCAAGTATTGTCATTTATTAGATATAAATAAGACAGAAGTAAGATATAAAGATAGATCATTGCCAAATTATCCAAATGTGATCCTCAGGTTCCATTTGTAACTTAATTATCAATCTATTGATATGAAACCTGAAATCTTGGTGTATAATAAGCGCTGATCAAATACTATAAATAGAACCACCAACTGTTATGGTGGATTAGTTTGGTGTGCCGCAAAAAGTGTGTCAATCAACAATAATGCGTTCGATAATGATGAGAAGCCCCATTTGCATGGCCGCTTGATTGAGCGGAGGAGGGAGATCACTGGAAGATACGCCACGTATAGAGGAGGACCCCGCAGAGCTGATAGCAATGTACATAGATGTTATTGGGCGAAGAGCCAGCTGCAAGCCACATGTAAATATGCAGATAGTGTGTGCTTTGTGCCCTAATCATCTGGCAATAGGAATAGGAAATACGTCAATCGAATGCATCACATACAGACAGGCAGTCAGGCCAACCAATCATATACATACATATGTAGATAGATAGCGATCAATTCGAATCAAACAAAGAGCTCGATGTGCGACTCAAATCGCGAAACTGCACTTGACTCATATTTTCGCATTACCAGCTGCAACGAAATCGAGCCACCATTCAGAAGTCTATATACATAGGCACCTATATAGTACGTAAGCGAACTTCTGATACACCCGCAACTTGGACTTTAAGCGACGGAAATCGGCAACAAAACATGACTCCCCCGTGATAACGTGCCCATAAAGGTAAATCGAACGATAAGCAATGAATATACATATGTACATACATATATGTAAGTACGATCGTGCCCGCATGCGAACAGCACCGTGAATTGCAGTTGAGATTTCTAAAATTACCAGATAGCCGTACCCACTGAAGGTCGGCCGTTGGCTTTCCCACTTTAAATAAACGTCGACTAAATAATAATGATCGTATTTACGAATTCGCATTTAGAAATGTTGCTTACTTGGCCCCCGGAAAGGCGTGCAAAAAATGAAGGGAGAATCCATCAAAACACGGCAATTTCCATTAACTGATAACGATTTGTTTTTAAGGGCCCTGTTACTAGGGCATGAATTGCATTTCCAAGAGGGAAATTGCGATTATCTGAAATGGCAATATATCTCCTACATACATATGTATGTATATGTGTATTTCCATGGCATGGTTTAGTGGTAGAGTCGTCATGCGATACGGTGACGAGTTCGCGTGGCGATCCGCAAACTCGTGTTCAAGTGGTTCGAGTGCCAACAACAAAGAGGAAGTGCGGTGAACACTCAATAAATAGAGCCATAAAGAGCCGTCATGAATGAATAGGCTTATAAAGAGTCCAGCACCCTATCTGTATAACCCTTGGATTGGAGCAGCCACTTCGAGCGCGAAGCCAATGGAGCGGGCGACAATTGTGATAGAACTAGCACGTTAATGTTAAAGTATCTAAGTATCTAAGAGGAAGTGGTGTGCTCCACCATAATAGCACAATTTGCAAGTTAAATGGCCTGCTTACATGCACTCCTCAAACTGAAAAGTGCGTTTCTACTCAACTTATCCAATACAAGCCAATTCAAAATAATATAAAAACAGCTGCACCTCTTTGTGTCGCACTGTTGGCAAACCCGAAAACGAAAACGAGTACAAACTTTCACAAATCTAATCTGTCGGCGGAACAGAACGTCTTCTGTCTGTGAAACGCTTCAGTACTTTTTCCCTTATACGAGTACCTACCTGTACTTGGGACCCGAAACTGCCAACGAATTTTAAAGTCCAAATTAGACACGCTGCGCGCTGAGTAATCAAATGGGCCTAGATCAAAATGCAACCGGCCAACTTTAATTGCCGCAATTAAAGTGGAAACTGAAATTACAGGAAAATTCTAGTACCTGCAGCAGCTGCACGGGCTAACGAACTTTCTACCAGCTGAGGATCAAGATCAGGTAGTTCAAACTGGAAATACGGATTGCCACGCAGAAGATGCAAAAGAGAATATTCCAGAATGGTAAATGGTGTCATGCCAGACGGTTTTGAGTCGCTAAGATCTATTGTATCCCAGAATCTTGATTAATTAGGGACCCATCGTAGATGAAAGCTTTCTTTGAATCGTATTTTACTTATATCTCGGGGTCGAAATCCCAATTTTAGAACGTAGTATTCCGATTGTGGCCCAAAGTCAGGGGAAATTGAGCATGTTAAGCCCCGGGGGTGATGATCAGCTTCATTGGCATAACAGCGAGCGAAAACCCGATTGATTATTTTAATGATCGAATGATGCTGCCCCTCTGCTGACGTTATTCCCGATTATAGCGCTCGATTACCCTGGTCAAGCGATAAGCTCCATATACGTGTACATGCATATGCAGATGCATCTGGGCATTGCAGCCCAGTAGCCATGAGTAATCCAGCTGACATTTGTTGTGCTCCCTCGCTAGTTTTGTGTTCCCCAGTGATTGACATGTTTATACCCACGATACAAACGAAGCGTTACATTTGGAAAATCGAAAGCAAGAACTCTCGCCATGTACATGCATATATATTTCCCAGTTTTATATAGACCCGATTCCACAGTGGCACCACTTTTGCCTCGAATTCCTAGGCGACTTTCGATGAACGCGCCTCCTAAGCATAAACAAAATATACATATACATCTACATATGTGTAAATAGGCACTCGACCTTCAAGCATCTCGATCAAAATAGGTTTTGTATGCATACAGTTGCGGTCGGAATTATGGTGCCTTGGCAAATCTATAGATGGTGTATGCAGGATTTGCCCTAATCATTCTGACGCAAAATAAATTTAATCAATTCGCTGAAGAAATCACCAGTCTAAATCACACGTTCAGTTTAATCTATTTAATTTAATATTGGCAATTCAAGATAAGTTTCTTGTTAAACTCTGGCATAGGCAGTTTTCGAACTGCGTTGCTATTTATCTGCCCACCGCTGTGCTTGTATAGCCCGACCATTTGCTCATATGTATGTATATTCGGGTGCCGCTTTACAAAAGTGCGTTGTCCCGGCCTACGAAACTTGTTTTTCTGTTTTCGTAAGGTTTTTCAACTGCGCCGCAGTTTTCCTCCAGCGGACGGGACGGGACGAGCCCCCTTCGAAATTGGACAAACACGCCCAAAAGCACACACACTATCGCAGGCAATTATGAAAGACCCCCATTGACTTCCTAGCGACCTACAAACGCAAACAAGCTTATCACTAAAATTTAATTCAATGCGTTTTATATTGAGCCCCACAGCGTCTTTCTCGCTCTCCCATTCCCAGCCGTACTCGCTCTCGCTCCCACTCACAGAGTCACTGAACTGCACAGTGGTTGTTTTTGCACTCAGCTGTTTGGCGAATGCAAGTGTGTGTGTGTGTATGTGTGGGTTGTGCGAGAAAAGGGGAGAGAGGTAGAGAACACAACAGAGGTGCGCAGAAAATAGTCACAGGGGGTTTCCCGAGCAAAATGCATGGTGCAAAGGCCAAGTTCAAACTAGCAGCGTGCGAAAAGATATTTAACAAATTCCATGACTGCACTTATACAAATCAACATGTATTTTCGCATCATATAGAGCCAAAAGATTCCAAAAAGACCCGTTTTTAGCCCGCCCATGTAAGCGAGTGGGAAGAGACTCACCCAGTGGTAAATCGCAGAGGAGACAGCAGGCGGCCAAGGAACCGGCCGATGCGCCCCCAATCTTCTCCAGCAGCAGATGCGGTGCATACTTCTTGAAGCAGACGGCCACTCCGACGTGGTAGATGCCCAGGAATCCGCAGCCAGCGAATGATAGATTCATGCTTTGGACTCTGCGTTAGATTCTATAAATCGTCCGATGACTGTTTGTTGTTGTTGCTACTGCGTCACTGGTTTTTGCTCTTTCTGATATGTATGTATTTTCTCGCACTTTCCACAGTTTTCCTCCGCGGATTTTGAGTCGTTGCAGCTCCTTTGATGTAACAACTTCTGGTCGCGTTTCGAAATAAATCTCGTTTTGGTTTTCAATCACTGTTTGTCGGCTGGGAATTAACTCCGCTCTCGAAATGAAAAGTTGTTGCTCGCGAACCGTTATTTACTCGCTCTGCGGATGGCAGCCCCCTTTTATACCTTTTTTGCAGCGCGGTGTGACCGCGTCTTTTTCGCATTAGCACCTAAAATAAAACTGCCATTAGAGTGGGTGTCACGTACGGGGTATTCTTTACTCTGTTGATCCACCTTTTCTTTTTATTTTCTAAACTTATAGATTAGAATCAACAATTAATTTATTATATCAATGTAAGGCCAACCTGTTGTCAGCAATAAGAAACATTGATGTATAAATTAAATTAAAAACGCAGCAACGGTCCGCTCTTTTAGTCTTCCTTGCGCACTAAAAACTCGTTGTTCCCCATTTTTCAAAGACATGATCCCTTTGAACCAAAATTTGTTAATATTTCAGCAGGTTTGTGCTCGATTCCAAGAGTTGTTTGTCCAGTTTGTAATAATAAAACTTTTAATTGGAGTACATGTTGTTAATCTCTTGATCTGTTTTTTTTTTTACTATTACTTATAAATTATAATAAATTATAATAGCAAATGATTTCTAAATATAATAAGTGGTATATGTGCACAAAATATTGAAATATTACATTTAAAACTCCAATTTAATAATTACCCAACCTAAACGATAGTATTATTCACCGCAGCCGATAGTCGGCGCCGAGCACATCACTAGCGAGTACACACATCTAATACTTTTTCCATCTCTAGCCCGGAGTTGCAAAAAAATCGTCTTCATGAAAAAATGGAATTAGACAAGAAACTACGAGAAGTCGGGTGGTAAGTACACAATTAAAAAGTAGCGTCCAATGGGGTCTAACGACTTACGCAGGCACCTGACAGAGGAGGGCCTTAAAACCGTGACTGCAGCCGTCGGCAGCGAGGATGTTCGCAAAATAGTCGATGATGCACTGAATGTGAGTTGTAGGCAAACCGGCTGCTCAGCATTCTGTGTAATTATTAATAATAACCTATTACTCACAACTTTTAGCGAGATCTGCGCGATATAGGCGGTGGCGCACTGCCCGCGAAACGCGAAGATGCCACTTTGCCTGGAAAAATAGTGCTGCAGGTTCAGCGTGTGCGGAATATCGCCGCTCCCAAGGCGAATGAGGAATCGAAGGTGGCGCCACGCCTCCTTCAGTTGGATCTGAGTGATGGCCAGAACTCCATACAGGCCTTGGAGCTGGAGCCAGTGACGCAGTTGAATCTTAATGTGGCTCCCGGCAGCAAGATCTACTTTAAGGCCGAGAAACTGCAGCTGATGCAGGGATTCGTGCTGCTGAAGTCCAGCGAGATTCAGCTGCTCGGCGGCCGTGTGGATGCACTCTACGAGAAGTGGGATCTGGCCAGGACCATGCTGAGATATGCGCGCAGTGGGCGCCCATTGAATGGGACATCAGCGCCACCCCCTTGGGTGGCATTTGGCAGAAAAATCGATACCACCGCCGAAAGGGAAAAGGACTTTAAGAGCCTGGGCTCCTCGGGCGACAAGGATAAGCCGGCGAAGGAGAACGAAGAGTTCAATGCCATGCGCACCGAGGCCATTGCCGTCGCCACCAAGGCCGGCGGCAAGAAGGTATTTGGCGGCGGTGGCCAGAACATAATCGATCACAATGTCAAGAAGATCCTGGACAAGGGCTTCAGCGAGGAGGAGGCCCGCAGTGCCTTGCATGCTACCCGAAACAACCTGGAGCGTGCCCTATACAATCTGAAAAGACGCAAGGAAGCTGGAGGTGTGGGTCCAGTCGAATCCGTGGCTCGTCCGGGACGTGGAGATCGTCCGCCCAGAGAGGGGAAGCGTGGTGCTAGCGCCAAGGACGAAGCAGAAGCAGCCAAGCCTGCTGCCAATGCCACGCTGTTTGATTTCCTAACCAATAAACTGCCCGCCACGGAAACACCGGCCGCTAGCGTCGCAGAAACCTTTGCTGCCGCTCCAACTGCCCCACCCACTATCAACCATTTCAATCCATTCAAGCAATATGGAAACTCGCGGTTCGGCGAGTCCGAGAGCAGATCTTTAGCTGTGGGCGGTGGAGGCAAATTCGGAGATCGTTCGAGGTTTGAGAACAACGTATCGACCAGCTTTGCCGCACATCGTGGTGGACATGCAGGATCATCGCGAGGCGGTGGCCGTAGTCGAGGTGGCGGTAGGGACGAGAGGCCACCAAAGGAGGAGCGAGCCCACAGGGAAGACAGGCCTCCGAGGGAAGAAAAGCCGGCGAAAGAAGAGAGGCCACCTCGAGAGCGAGGAGGCTTCAATGAACGTGGAACTGGACGTAACAAACCAGACACTGCAGCCGTAAAAACCTCAAATCGCAATGGCTCGGACACCGCGCCAGTGAAACAGAATCCCGAGGTTAAACCAGAGCCAGAAGCAACCAATGGAAAGGACCACACTGCCAATCGACGTGGCAGCGATCGGGGCAGCAATCGTGGAGGCTCCAATCGGGGAGAGAATGGCAACGCTAATGGCAACAGACGTAACAAGCAGGCAGCACCAAGCTCAGGTTCGGCGAGTTTAGCTGCAAAAACCTCAAATAGCGCTGGCGATGACTTCAACGCCCGTTTGACTAAGGTAACCGAGGAAGCAGCTAATCTCAAGGTGAGCAGTGCTCCCAAGCGAGAGAATCGCCGTAAGCAAGGAGGTCTGGGACAAGCGAATCGCCAGGCGGGAACGGGCACAGAAACGCAGCAGCAGCCAGCACAGTTGCCTTCGCAGAAGCCAGAAAAGGCTCAACCCAACCAGAAGCATCAGAATCAGCATCACAATCCCAGGCATAATTCACACACGAACTACAGTCAATTGGCGAATGGCTACACGTACGATCCCAGCAAGATCATGGGTTTCCAAAGCAAGGAGGCCAACGAGTTTGCCATGAGCCTTCTAAAGAGCCAGGGTGTCACGATGCCCAACCAACAGCAGCAGCAGCAGCATCAGGAATCGCCACCCATGTCCTTTGGCCCCGTTTCGGCACCTGATCCCCGTGCGCAACCTGCTCCAGTGGCTGTGCCACAGGCTGCGCCAAGGGATCAGTTCGGTATGCTGCCAGGCGACGCATGGATGTGGCAGAAGGGCGATTTGTGCATGGCCAAGTATTGGGACGATGGAAGGGTGAGTTTAGGTCGCCTAATTAGAAGTACATTCGTTATACTAGCAAAATCCATATCCCCAACTATTCGCATTGAATTAACTTGCCATTCTCTCTTCACTTTCCAGTATTATGAGGCTGAGATCACGGGAGTGTCGGAGAAAACTTGCGTGGTCTTCTTTATGGGCTATGGAAACCACGAGGAGGTGTTGAAGGTCGACATCCTGCCCATCACTGATGCCCAGAATAGGCCCCTGAGCAACGCAGCGCAGCAGCAGCCGCATCAGCAGCAGCAACCGCATCAGCAGCAGCAACATTCACGCTACCGCGGAGATCGTCAGACGCAGCAGCAGCAAGTCTACGTGCCGCCCCACAAACGAGAGCATTGAGACAGCATAAAAGCAGCCTGTTTACAACGTATTTAAATCAATTGAAATGTTTCGAATAAACAACTTTACAGTATATTGAAACTAGTATATTAGTATATATCAGTATATTTCTCCTACTCTGCAAATGTCTTAGTACAATTGACTAATTTAAAGCATACTTTTGATTACGCCTCACTAAATAATTGTATACATCTTCTCAAACTCCAAGAATTGGATTAAGCAGAGTTTTACTTAATAAGTTTTTTTACCATTTCAATTCGATCAATTTCAGCCGCAGTGTTATCGATTGTCTCTGGTTGCTGCCCGACTATGGGCAGCACTATTTCGCGCCGCTGCTCAGCACTGGTGCATTTCGCGAATTTTCCCTCATACATACATAACTTATTTTTAACATTTTTCGACGTGATGTGCATTTTCTCTCATAGTTTTGTGCTTAACCATGTAAAATATAATTAGTCTGTAGTGTACAAACAATAGGAATTAGTGCAAAGGTAACGCAGAAAGAGTGCAAAAGTCCGAAATGGACGCAAAAATTGGCCAGCAAATGTACAGCTGGCTGGCTGACTTGCGATAAAAGCGCTGGAGAAGGTTCAGCGCTGTAAATGTCGCTTGCTGAGCATGCAAAACGATTAACGAGCCGTATAAATAACTGACTAATCAGATAATAGTGCAATGCGGTCATTTGCATGTATTGTGCGCATATAATTTCATATGATGGCAATCATCGTGTAGTACATGCACCAGTGTTGTCAAGTTCGCATGCGGTGTTGGAAAGCGCCGGTTGCCGAAAGAAGTGTAATGTTTTGTGCCGTTTTTATTGGGCAATATACAAGGCATTTAAATAAGCAGCATTATATCGTCACTGCCCGTCATTAAATGAGTTGCATTTATGCTTAAGTACTGGATAATAAGATGGGTGCCACCATTCATTTCCACATGCGATACTCGGCGAGTGCCTGGCGCCGCTAGCCAACACTAGCCACTGTCTGCTGTTTTCAGCACGTAAAAAGAAAAATGGTAAAATAAATCCTCCTCGTTTCTCGGGCATTGTGCAAATTAACAATTGAATACGCTTCAGCCATGACCAGCCACATAAACCGTGGAATAATTGCGGAAAATCCGTGAAAAGTGCCTTTTTTAGCCTGCAAACAGCCGGAATGTAAACGTCAGGCCAAGAAAATCCGACCATGTATATAAAAAAAAGCCAAGAAAAATCAACATAACGCTTAAAACTTCAGGCATTTGCATTTGATCGCCAACTGCGTTCGCCATTTACTGATAAATAATACCCATTTATTGCCGCATATAAATAAAAACCGCACAACAACAAAACGCACACATGCACGCAACGAAAAAAAGTAGCAAAGAAAATAAAAGCAGTGCTAAAAAAAAGAAATATAATAAGCAGAAACAACTCGCGAATTACTCTTAATTATGCTGGCGAATTTTCTCGTTCTGTGCAAGTGTTTTCCACCGGAATCCCCTCCCCGTGAGATGCCTCCCCTGCGAATTTTCCGAACCCCTCCCCCTTTGTGCCGGTGCGAGTGTGAAAATTGCTCTTATGAAATTTTGCGTAACCGAATTAGAATGAAAATTGTGTAAATCGAAAAATAAAGACACAGTCGGCCAAAGAAGCACTTTGGATTGTTTATCACACATGTGCACATATATACATACACTTGCTTGCAGGTGGACTCTATAAATCCGTCTGTATATTTGTACTAAGTACACACAATTGTTTGGGATCCGATAAGAAGCTAGATATAAACAATTTCTGTTTTGGATTTAGCGAGTATTACTAGCATTCAACTGAACTGATTTAACCCAGTCTTCGATATCCAAAATAACAAGCCAGTCTTTACACAAAGCAAAATTGTTTAATCGCCAATAGGAAAACTCTTAAAAATCCGAAAATGTATACAAATTGCTATTCGATTCCATAAGAAATGTATAGTGTAAGAATTCCACACACAAATAAAAACATTCAAAAATCGAAAAACCGATTTGAAATGTTAAATAACTACATCATGATGTACATTTTGATGTACATAAAAAAACATAAATATTTAATAAGATAATATTAAAACATAAAAACCACAAAGTAGTCAGATAACCGCCATACAAGTCTGAAAATTATAACAAAACACTTAAACAAAATTAAAACTAAATGCAAACATCTTTCCTTGCAGTAAACATAATGCCCGCAAAGTATCTAAAACATTAATGTAAAAACGATATTCGATTTCTTATTATTAACCACCCAAAAACTGTTAAATTGTGTGAGTATCTATTCGCAGAATATCATAAACGATAATAAAACTTTCAACTGTCCTTACAGAATCACCGTAGAAATTAGACGAGCGATCAAGACAAGGACCTGAACATTTCACACATGCATGACTGACCACCACCCGGAGGAGCCACTGAACACCAGCCAGTAAGCGATGGCCGCCGAGAAGGAGATGCAGGCCCACGACATGGTCCGACGGCGGAGTTGGGCCCGTGCGGTGGCGCTCTACGACCAGCTGATTGCGCCCAATCCCGGCCAGGGAACCGGTGGCCAGGGTGCGGGATCGAGGGCCCAGAAGGACCAACAGATCGCCTGCCTCCTGGGCCGGTGCGAGTGCCTTCTAGAGCTGGGGAAGTTCGAGGGCTGCCTGGCGGACGCGTACAAGGTGCTCACGCTGCTCTCCGAGCAAACAGAGTGCCTGGCCAGTGTCTCCAGGGCACGCCGCTGGCTCGTCCACGCACTTTTCAAGATGCACAAGTACGGGGTACGTATGATCCGGAACTCACAAGGAAAGGGATGATAAGGTTTTCCCTTCCATTGCACATGCTCATATGATTTACCAAGACTTAATGCAATTAGCCTTTTAAAGAGAGAGATATTATTTATTATAATGTAGTTTTCCCGCCCGTAAAGGTTTTATTTTACAATATTAATATTTACCGGAACTACGGCAATGCAGATCTGGCATTCATTACCCTTTTCTAACTTTGTTTCAGGATGCCGAGATCTTCCTGAGCAAGTGGATCAACGAGCTAAGCGGCCAGCAGATATACTCGGACATATCGAAAACCCTTGAGCGCTACAAGTCCATCATTCAGATGATCATGAACGGCCAGCACAAGGCGCAGGCCCTGAAGATCCCGCACGCCCGTCTCGAGGACGAGATGGCCATACTGGACACCAAACTGGATCACTGGGCCACCAACAACCTGCCGCTGGACAAGTACAGCAAGCTTCTCAGCAACAAGGGCTTGAAGAAGCGAGAGCAGCAGCAGCAACAGCAGCAACAACAGCAGCAGCAGCAGCAACAACAGCAGAATGGCAATGGGATCGGCAGTTATGCGAGCAGCAGTAGTAGCTCCTCCACCGGCAGCAGCAGCACCATGTCCAGCTCCAGCACAAGCCTCCACAAGACCAACGATCTGCTGGCGGCCATGAAGCTCACGGCAGGAAAACACCAGCCGGGCTCCGGCGACGGATCTGGCTCGGATCAGGGCGATCAGGCGGCTCCATCGACCACCTGTAGCTACTGCACCATCACCTTTCAGACGAGGAACGAGCTGCGACAGCACTGCCAGACCGAGGCCCACCAGAAGGTGATCATGAGCGATGAGGGTGAGTATTTGTTGGTGATAGTGAAACCATTCAGTGCTTTTAATAAACGCATCATACCATTTTTGTGCAATAATAGCCTTACGTAACCTTTGAAACCTTCTGGTTAGCCTCCGAATTATGATTAATAATAGACATGGTTATAATTAGAATGCCAATGTTGTTTAAAGAGATGCCTTGTTTGAAAAGATTTAAGTAATGTTTATGCATTCATTCACCTCCAATTTTACCTCCTCTACAAAAGCCGAACTTACCTATTGGAAAATATACCTTAATAGAAATAAAAAATCAATCTGGAAATGGTGCCCTATTTATGTTTGTATGAGAATGTCAATGGCAACATGTTCTATAAACAGAAAACTAAACTTAATGATACTACAGCCTGAATTCTGTCTATATTCTCTATATTTAAATAAGAAAAGCACTGAAAACATGCATTTCCAGTCATTAAAACTCAATAATATTTTCACTTTCCGATTAGGCCGTGACTGGAAGTGGCGTCCTCCGCCCCGTGGTTATACACTGGACACCTATTCCCTGTGCGAGACGTTTAGCGAGGCACACATCTGTCATTATGGAGCGCAGTGCGTGGAGGCTCATGGACAGGATGAGTTGAACGAGTGGAAGGAGCGCTTCGAGTACCGGCGGATGCGGATGCAGAAGGCCTGTGAGAAGGAGCTCTACGGCAAGTCGTACACGGAGCAAGTGCTGGATCGTTGGATCCAGGCGACAGCACCGGAGCGGGTGATGTGCGAGCGAGTGCCGGACATGGAGGCACGGTGTGAGCAGCAGCTGGTGACCAGCATTAGCTCAAAGACCTCTAAGCGGGAGTGGCTCTTTCAACTGGAGACGAAAAAGCCGCTAAAAGCGATAGCCCTATTGCAGGATGCCCATCGAAATCACTTTGCCCTGAAGTCCATTAAGATGTGCAAGCCAACTGAAGCCAGCATGGAACTCAAATCAGACCAAGAGTGGCTGGCAGGCAGTTCATCTCAAACGGAGACTTCCAACGACGACACTGCTGCTTTGATACACGAAATCACAGTTGAGTTTCACACGGAGATCTACGGAACCTTTCGGCAAGCCATCTGCTTCGATGTGGGTCAGGAGCCTTTGCTTGTGAGGCATCTGTGCGTGGATGTGTTGCCCGTGAATGATGCGGAGAAAATCGAGGAGATCAAGCGGGACATCATTAACAGTTCTGCCACCCGATGGGATGTTGCCAATACGCAGCTCACACGCTTCGAAACGACGATTGGCACTCATCTGAAAACGGAGGCGTATCTCAGTGATTTGGAACACGAGCGGGAGCTACTGGAGAGGTATCCCTGTCCAAGGGCAGCCACTTTCACTCTGACACAATCGACCATTGTGGAGAAGCGGCTGACGCAGAATAACTACCGATCCCGCATCCACGAGTTGCTGTCAGTGGAGGAGATTGCCCGCTATGAGCAGATAGCGA